ATTTTCTCGAAATGTGTCAGAAAAATAATCCGAGAGTAAATGTTATCTCAAAATGAGTCACGAAATAAATTATGAGGGTAAAAATTATCTCAAAATAAATTACACAAATATTCAGAGAGTTTGAATTGTCTCGACATAAGTCATGAAAAATATTCCGAGAATATGAGTTGTCTCGAATCAAGTCGCACACTATGTTTTGAAAATTGAATTGTCTTGAAATAAATTACATAAAATATTTTGAGAATTTGAATTGTCTCAAAATATTTTTTTTTAAACGATAAATAATCTCAAAACGACTCACAAATTATATTCCGAATGTGGTCCCAAAAATATACATTTTTTATCTTTGGAGCATGGAGTTTAAAATATATTAATTTTATATATAATTTTTAAATAAAAATAAGGGTAAACTGTTTTTTTAGTTCCGTAACTGGACCCCCTTATCATTTTAGTGTCGTAAGTGTAGCATGTCGCAAACTAGTCCCATAAGTGAAAAAATTTCGTTGTTTTAATCCTCCAGCGTCTGAGACGCCCGCGTGGCTCGCTGGAGGCTACGTGTCCGCCAGGTCAGCGACACGTGGCGGACACGTGGATTTTATTATTTTTTCTTTCATTTTTTTATTTTTTTAAAAATTTATTTAAAATTTAATTTTAATTTTATTTGCCTTTTTTAATTTTTTTTATTTGATTCAATTGAAAAAAATTAAAAAATAAAATAAAATTCATGTGTCTGCCAGGTGTCACTGACCTGGCGGGACACCTGGCGGACATGTGGTTTCCGGCGAGCCACGCGGGCGTCTTCAGCGCCGGAGAACTAAAACAACGAAATTTTTTCACTAATGGGACTAGTTTGTGACAGGCTCCACTTACGATACTAAAATAATAAAGGGTCCAATTATGAGACTTAAAAAAGAGTTTATCCTAAAAGTAAATTATGTTCTATTTGATTAACTAAAATAAGTAAGCTTACAAAGTTTATAATATTTATGTATAACTTAATATATATAAAATCGAATTGAAGAATAAATATCAAACTTATATATCAAACTTAACTTAAAACCTAGTCAATTATTTTTATTAAGAATATCCTATTATAAACAATAAATACTATAAATTATTATCAATTAAATCCATTTATCTATAATAAAAAAAAAACCAAAATATAATAAAAATACAAACAAATATTATAATAAAAATATAATAATTGTGAGCGGGATTTTTCCCACTAATTTATTTTAAATTTCACTCCACCCTTCTACTTTCTCTCACCCACGTTCACATTTACTCACCCCACTTAATTTTCATCTGCAATAGCTATATATTTATTTACCGGTCCGCATTTTTTTTAAGTGAATTAGATATGCTATTTCAATTTGAATTTGATAATTTGTTTAGGTGGGTGCTATTTTTAAGAATATTTGTTTGAAGTATTCAATTAGCTTTCCTAATTAGTTAGATATTCATGTTTATCTTATTTGGATATGAATTTGTATAATTTTATTGTAATTTTTTTAATTCTTACTTCTAAGAACATAATTGTTTGGAAATAGTTTTTTTTTTTTTTTTGTAAACGATTATGATAAAGCTTGCGTGTAACTGCGATTGAAGGTATTAGAATTTCCTTAGGAATGGATTTGAATGCATTATTGCTGATTTGAGGATACATATTCATCAATTTGTGTTCTTGCATATGTTTGCTTTCTTTCACTACTATGTATTGTCCACATAAGGGTGAATATTCCCTATCTTAGTGGATGTTTGCTTCACAATTACTGAGAATTCTCGAAACTGATCCGAATGATGCAAAGATCGAAAATTGGTAATATGATCCATCTGTTTGTGTCTGATGTTCTAACCTGGAATTTCACATTGTAATATTCTGATGTTCATGATTCTTTGTGGCTATCTGTTGTTGTTATTTACTCAGCATCGGAGAACCTTCGCGAAGAGGACATAACCATGAAGGAATATCAGGCTGAAAATGTTCATGATTCTGCCAAGTAATTAAGTTTGAGTGCACTAACGAACTAGTGAGCCTCTGATTCTTTGTTGCATTAATTACCCAAATCAAATGGTGAAGGTGATGATAAGCGGCTAATTTTATTGTATTGAAAAAAAATGTGTAAATTATTTAGAAGTGATGCTATGAGGTTTTGTATATAATTTTCTTGATTGATCAGTGTATGTATATTAATTAAGAAATTGTTTTCCAAATATTTAATGTGTCTTATAATTTGAGACAATATTTATAATATTGATATGCACTAATTTTGGTGGAAATATCATGAGGAATAAACTAACCAAAATAATTAATTTATTTTGGCATTAAATTGTGCAAAGTATAATTTCGGATATTGCTATAATTATTTTGAGATATAATATAATATTTTTATTCATATATTATCATGATTGTTGGATACTACAACACATAGTGTCGAAAATTATCACAAATATTTAAGATAAAATATAGTCTAAAAAATTATTACGGTCATTTGAGACAAAATATAATATGAAAAATTATCACAAACATTCAAGATAAAATATAGTATCGAAAATTTTCAGTGCTATTCAAGACAAAATATAGTCTCAAAAATTTCCACGGACATTCAAGACAAACTATAGTCTCAAAAATTATCACAAATATTTGAAACAAAATATAGTTTTAGAAATTATCACGGCTGTTTAAGACAAAATATAGTAACAAAGTTCGCAAGTATTTTTTATATAATTTATTGTCACGACATTCTCTCGAATAATCTCATGAGACTATTTGTCTCGTCATTCCATGACTTTCCAAATTGTTACGATCAAACGGCCACGGAAAAAGTTTCAAGACAATTTTCGAGATTATTTAATTAATTGTCTCGTAACTATATAGATTCCGAAACAATTTTTCAAAGACAATTCAATACTTTTCTAGTAGTGATATTTATGTCATAAATATAAATTAGACAGACTGTTTTGAATGTTAATTTTTTATTCAATATAAAAATATTTTTTAAAATTAATTTGATATTATCTTAAAATTTTTAAATATTACAATTAAGATTTCAAAACCATTCAAACAAACACATACAATTTGATTTTTATTTTTATTTATTTACGCCAAATCATTTGTTTCAACGCAAATTCATTGGTTGAATTTCATTATAAAATCTGCAATGCAAGTTAAACATATTATTGTTTTTTTTAAAAAAAAAAAAAATGATGTGTATAATTATATATATTTATTTATTATTAATGATCCGATAATCTGATCTAGTTTTTATATGTAAATAGATGCAATTTATAGTTAAAAATGCTTCATAAGAAATAATAACATTATCTATTACCATGAATTTTAAATCCCTAATTGTGACTTTTTTGGGCAAGACTCTTGTATTTAGTTTATAGTCAATCTATATTTTCTTTTATGAAAATTCGTTATTACCTCGCTTCTACAACCAATATAGATTAAAGTTGAGGATGATTATGATGATGATGAATCGGTGTAAACCACTACTTGGCTTGGTGGAGTGGCATGTCCGAGTAAGAGTAATAGTCTTTTATACAACAACATTTTTATTTGCATCCGATCAACAGTAACAATTGTCTTTTATCCGAAAGGATTCATATTTATATTTATTATTGGGTAAACTATTTTTTAGTCCCGGACCCCCTTATAATTTTAGTCTCGTAAGTGGAGCTTGTTGCAAACTAGTTCCATAAGTAAAATTTTTTCTCTGTTTTAGTCCTCCGGTGCCGGAGACGCCCGCGTGGCTCGCCGGAGATGATGTGTCCGCCAGGTGTCCCGCCAGGTCAGCGACATCTGGCGGACACGTGGATTTATTTTTATTTATTTTTTTAACTTTTTAAATTTTGTTTAATTAGACCAAATAAAAAAATAAAAAAATTAAAATTAAAATTAAAAATAGATTAAAAAAAATTTAAAAAAAATTTAAAAATGAAATAAAAAAAAAAAAAAAATCCATGAGTCCGCCAGGTGTCGCTGACCTGGCGGGACACTTGGCGGACACATCACCTCCGACGAGCCACGAGGGCGTCTCCGGCGCCAGAGGACTAAAACATCGAAAATTTTTCACTTATGGGACTAATTTGCGACAGGCTTCACTTACAAGACTAAAATGACAAGAATGTCCTATTACGGGACTAAAAAAACAAAAATATCCTTTATTATTTTATTTTAAGTTAGTCTTACAATATTAAACAATATAATACTCCACTTAGTACTTTTATTAATCACTACAATAAACCATACACATATAACTTACATAAAATAAAATATACCATGGGGTATTTTCCACATCATAAATATATATATACTAAACACAAGTTCCTTGAGATGAACTGATGACGTGAAAATAAACTCATAATCATTGATGCTTGTGCTTTCAAGTTCATTTGTCACAATATTTTGTAAAATTATATGAGACAAATTAGCGACGGCTGGTTCTACTTAATCAAAGAAAAAAAAAATTATTTTAATTTAAATAATCCACATTGATAAAAAAAAATTCTATTAGACTAAAATTGATTATTACTATATAATTTAGGGTGTGTTTGTTTGGAGGTTTGGATTTTGAGTTGGGATTTGAATAGTAAAAATTTTGAATTTGAATAGTTGTATGATGTGATATAAATAGGGTTTGATGTGATGTTTTGAATGTAAAATTGATTTTTAGTATAATATAAAAAATGAAAAATAGGTGTTTGATTTGATATTTTTGGGGGAAAAAAATTGGATGAATAGTGTTCAAACAAACAGTGTTGTACCCAACAATCCTTCCATCCCCATAATTTTTAACTTTTTTTTTTAAGATGATTACTTACTTCGGTCCGAAACGAAGACAAGCCCAATATTTCAGCACAGTCCAGCCCTAACCTTCATCTTCTTTACGCGAAGCAACAGTAGTGCGTCTTCTTCGGCCAAATTCTTCGCCTGCAGCGCAGAAAAAACTGTAAGCTCAATCCTTCTCTTCATTTTATCTCTAAAATGAGAAGCAACTGTTGAGATTTGTCGAATCTCTGCAGCAATTTTATGTGCTTGCTGCTCGAATTCGATCTCGCAACGTCTTTTCCGTTCATCAAATCTGCGTGCAATTCGTTTATTTTACACAGTTTCATACACGAAATAGTTACTAAATTGATTCGACTGTTGACATCTTATCTTGATTTGTTCGTTTGGTTTCGACTCGCCCGATACAGATCTGATATTGTCTTTTGGATTTAAGTGTCGACGATAGGTTTTCGATTTAATTTGTCGTAAGTTCAAATTTATTGCTTGTGCTGTGATTGCATGAGTTTGTATGTTAGTTGTTACTCATTCCGATTTTTCAACATTTTTGTTGTCATTATTTCATAATCAAGGTTTAAATTTAGTTATACCTTTATATAGGTCGAGTTAATCTTTTGTTTGAAATTTGGGATATTTATATTGGGAACATTTGAATTTGAAGACACCCTTGTGATGCCCAGAGCAACAATTGGAGATAAACAATGTTGAATCTCACGTACATTTAACACAGCTAGTTAATGTTATATGGGAATGTAGAACAAAATGGATTGTGAAATGTAACATTCTGTATAAGCTCAACTGTGCCTTGTATATTGGCAGTTAGTTGGATTTCTGTGATTCCATCCAAAGACCATATCTTGTTTCAAAACTGGCTATGATTTGGATTTCTCTTATGGATTGTGGTGTTGGTGATTTAATGTGGAGTCAAACACTCCGTTCCAGCTATTCATTTGTTCCTGGACCCTTGTCTAGGGGTTTAATCAGTTCTAATTTTTTTGACATTTCAGTGGCATATCAAGCACATGGCTTCCTCAGGGACCTCAATGTCGTATTCTTTACTACTGTTTATTGCTACACTTTCTCTACAAGAAATGTATAGAGCAAAACTAGCTTCTTCAGAGTTATATACTATACTTGGAGGATTCACCAGCTCTCTCATTTTTCTTTTTCTGCTCACGGTAAGAGATACATAACTTCTGATGAGAAAATAGGAATATGGTAATAACATATGCCGCACTGGCAATCAATATGTGCTGTTTTCAGTTTTACGCTATGCCGCTATGCTTGTGTGTTGTCATAAGCTTCCGCTTACTAAAATTTAAAGAATCAAACCTTCAGAATAAGTTTTGCATCAAACCATCAGACAGAGTTTTGCACTATGACATGTGTTGCACTGATATGGCCATTGATATGCACACACAAACACACACGCATATATAAAAATCTCTTTGAGAGGTTACTTGGTTCCATTTTCACTTTCCATGTCATTTAAATAATCTTCAGTTAACACAGCCGGGTTCACAGAACCTAATTCTACAATGCAAACACAGTGGCATGCCTGCCTGCACCTTGCATTGACATCTTCACTAGTCTTTTTCTAGCCCTTATTCTACATACACTATGCAATACTTCTCTCTGTCAAATTAATAGTTGAAAATTCACATATAGGTCTTAGTCAATTAGTTGTTAGCTATTAGATGATTCAATTAGTTGGTTTGACTAACAATTGTATTAACTGTTACATGATTCAATTAATTTGTGTTAAGAGTGTTTAGTTAACAACTATTAAACAAGATAAAAGCTGATGAAATAGTTAATTCCCATACACCCTCATAACTTCATCCATTTAAGCTTGTTTAAACCAGTGGGGTTCACTGTTACATTAAAGACACAAAGATAGTATCTAGATTTATTTTGACAGTTCAGCAGATATGTAAACGCCAATTGTGGCATAGGTAACTACATTAACATTGTTAAAGTGTATTGTCTTTTAGCATAGGTTTTACCTTGCAATTTTTCAGTATATCTCTGTACACCCAAATTCTTGTGCCACTACATTTTACAAATTAACTGTCTTCAAAACTATATATTTTATGGCATGTTTCACCTTCCCTTTAAATGGGATACTTATGATGACTTAGGTTTATGATTCTGACTAGTATGTATTTTCGGATGTTTTTATCTACAGTTCATTGGAAACTATCAAGAAATTAGCGGTATTAAGACTGGATGGGGTGCAGGTAATTCAAATACCCATTATCTGAATAGATTATTTATCTGCTTCAATACTTATGGCAGGTGGTGATGATATGGTTTGGCTGTTTTTTGCTAGTTGTTTATTTATTTATTTATTTATTTTATCTATAAGTGGTTCAACAAGTTTGAAAGGCAAAGACTGAATTAAGTGATACAAAAGGCAATAGGTGCTGGAAGATAGCTTTACTGAATCCATTGTTGGATTTTATCAAATTCCTTGATCACTGTTGCCAATGCACTTGATAAAACCTGAACAATTGAGTTCATCCAATTGATATAACTTGAACTATTAATATTGGAATTATAGAGTTGCACCTTACGGAAACATATGATCGATCCAGTTCACTAATAAGTTTCCGCCTTTATTGGTTCAGTTATAATTGCAGAGACAGTGGCGCTCATAGCTGCTGGAACTGTGCATAGAGTTTGCATCACAACCTGGTATTCCATCGTCTTACTATTACTGGATTCTGTTTTAGCATTGTTTAATCGGTCTCTACACGGAAATTTGTATGGGAGAATTTATGGACACTAACCAAATGCTTGGCAATGGCAGCTTCTTGTTTTCTGCTGGACTGTTGTACGAGGTCAACAAGCTCTCAGGAATGTCTGAATCTAAAGCTAAAAGGTTCTGAACCGAAACTTGTTCTTCCTTAAACGATCCCTTTTTGTCTGGCTGTATCAACTTTAATCGATCAAAGTGTAGACGAGCAATTTCCATGGAAAACAATATATGTATGCCAACCTAGACAGCAGCCTTTGCTCTCATTTGGACGGTCAGCTGCGCCGTTATACTGTAAAATCTCACATTGACATTTACAGTGCAGTGCAATCAAGGTTAGACTGTTATTATCATTTTAGGATTGGATGCTGTCTCTATACTTATCTTTCATTTGAAGCTCCGGCTCCTATTTTATTTATTTATATATTTTGTCTTTTTAAAAATCATTAGAAGGTAACTTGGTGCAGAATTCATGCGTTTCAAGAAAGTGAAATCCCAACTACACACCTGATGATCATTCAGTGTATCGAATTGCATTAGTATAAACCTCCCTCTACCTATAAATGCCAATGCCATAATGGGAGAAATATGTAAATTAGCTTATCTATCAGCACCGTGCTGAAATATTCCGGGCCATGAAATCAATGGTTGAGATTTGAAGTAAGGATTAAAATGTAATTCTATATAATATAGTAACTATAGGAATATAAAATTATTATATCATTCCTGATTAGTATAATTTACATAAGGAATAGCAATAATTTTTCTAAATGGACAAAAAAATAAAAAAAATTATCCACAAAAATTTATACAATTTTTTTATTTTTTTTTACATTGATCCGTTTGTTTTTATGAAATTTCTTCTTAAACCTTCAAATCGGTTGATTATTTGCCACGTGAAGTAGATGAGCAATTTGTTAGGAGATGTGCATCCCAACCCTGTTATCGCATGCAATGGTAATGCCTTCATTTCGTCACCAAATACAGGTAAGCTTATATATGCATTTTGATGGCTGGTTGTTCGGAATATACTCCACAATATATTTTCCTGTTTTTAATAGCATATTATTCAATAGTTTACATCATATATTGCTTATACGAAAAACATCTTAGACTTTAAATAGCATACGATTAGCGTTACGCCGAACGCATAATTAATTAAATAATGAGGTGTAACTGAGGCGTACGAGTTCTATTGTGGATACACGCATAAAAAGGGGTTTGCCATCATAATTAAGATGAAAAAAAAATGATCCACAATGCATACAGTACATTGAATATTAATTGAGAGGACATAAAAATGTCCCGTAAGAGTGTATAACGTGATATTATATCATCGAGTTGCTGATAGCAAATGTGTATACAATCGATAGCATAACATCCTATGGGTTAAGTCTAGATAAGATTTGATGTTATAATTAATAAGATTTTTTTTTTTTTTATAATTATGGTAACATTTATAATTATTATCATATCAATTTCTTTCCTTAATTGAACTAAGTACTTTAAATAAAATTATTGTCAAAAATATATTAATTTCAAAAAAATATGTCATATATAGTAATATATAAAATTTAATTAAAAAAATAACATGTATAGCAAATATTGTATAACGACATCATATCATCGAGTTGTTGATAGCATATGTGTATACAGCCGATAGCATAACATCCTATCAGACATCATATCATCGAGTTATTGATAACATATGTGTATATACAGATAGCATAACAACTTATGGGTTAAGAACTATATAAGATTTGATACCATAATTATTGTTATAGTTAATTATAGTAATGTGTCTTATTAACGAGACTTTATAATTGACTAATTTAAATTACATATATTAATAAAAAAATTTCCTAAATATCTTTCTATACGAATTTACATATTTGACCTTGGTTATTGATGTCCATTTGATCAATAATTAAATTCAATCAACGGCTCTAGTAAAGTAAACACAGTGTTGATGGTTTTACAATATCAGCACCTTAAGAGCCGCGAAAATATATAGAGGTGTTTGGATATGCTTTGTGATTAAAACATTCAAAATTAATTATTTAATTTAGGGTATGTTTGGTACATAGAAATAGAAATGAAAATGGGAGTTAACAAGAAAATTGAGAGTTGACAAATAAATTATTTCTCATTATCTTTTCTGATTTCACTTCTCTGTCATAGAGAAATACAGATAATTGTGTTGTTTACTCTTGTTTGTATATATATATATATGTTTGTGTTTTGTATGTACTTTAATACAATGACGATGTGTATAATTGTATAAATAATGGCTATGACGTTCACATGGTTTTCACTCCCGATTAGACTATTTAAAGTAACTATGATGGTCGATTAGAAACAATTGAAAGACTATTGTATATTACTTATGTTCAACATGGAACCAACCCAAACTTGAACAAAATCTAATCCAACCCAATGCAAACCGATTTGAATTTAATCACACCTAAATCAATCTTGATTGATTTTGAATCTTTCCACTTCAACCTCCCGTGTCTTCTGGACACTCTCTAGGCTACTTCAAATTTGTTCTGACGACTTGTCACTCGATAAGGTATGTTCGTTCCTAATTCTTGTGTTGATTTAAATTTCTTCCACCTATATGTATATTAATGTTGTGACGTTTCTTTTGTGTGTTGAGAAGAGAAAGAGTGAGGAGGAGTGTGAGATATTGTCTGTGTGAGTGGAAGCAGATATTTGTCTCTTTTTTGTTTCTGTCGACTTGTCTCTATTCTTCATCGGATTTATTTCGTTCTTTCCAAAATACTTAGTATGTGTTCGTCAATTCTGTGGGTAATTTTTCTGAATTTAGGTGACTTCCTGTCGGTACCAACAATTGTTTCTTGGTGGATGTTGCCTTATTGGACGACTTGGAGTCAATTGGCCCAAGCTGGAGTGGGTTATGATATGAGCCTATAAAAATCTCTAGATATTATTAGCTTAATTTTTTTTTTATTCCGTTCAATTTATTATTATTCTGATTCTCTTATTTTTATTTATCCACTAATTTTCTTTGTGAGAATTAATTGGTTGCATGACCAATTCATTGATCCTATCAAATAAATTCCCAATAATAAATTTTAGCTTTTTGATGGTTGCCGACGCTAGTAATTGAGACGCTTTCTCCTCCTCAATGTGCGTGAGATTGGTTTCACCTTCCCACAATTTGTTTATGCACTTCAATGCATAGTAATATATTTTGTTACAACTAAAATATTTTATGACTCTTGTTACGGCCACCACCATTATAGCCATTCGCACCATCCTTGTGAAGCAAGCCACCACACCAGTCTTTGCTCATACCTCTACCGTGACCACAACCGCAACCACCCTAGCCACGATTCTTATTTTTTGTAGAATATTTTTCATTTTTATATGAAGATAAGTCGCTTCTTCTATTCTTTAGCTGAAATTGGCCATTACCAGTGTCGTTGGATATGTGTAGACGTCCGCATTCCTTGAAAGCCTTTAATCATCCATATGCTTCATCAAATAGCATGGTGTCAAGAACACAAAATTTCTTGATGCCAACAATGACTTAGTAGAACCGATTTGGCCCAATAGTAAGTAGTTTCTTTACCATAGTTGCATTATCGAGCGTCAGTCCCACATTTGCAAACTTTATTGTCATGTCGTTTAGCTTGCCAGCACACACAACCAACATTTCTCCATCATTCATTCGCATAGCATCGCATCAAAGTCACCTTTTAGTGTTTGTAGACTACAGTTTTGACGTAATTTTTCCCAACAAACCTTGTATTAAGGAAATAAAAAACTTCTTTCGCATTTGTTTTCTTTACAAATTTCAATAAAAGATCTTCCAAAAGTGCTTGGAATTTGGAAAAGATACACTATTGTACTCTTGTCCTTCTTCATGTTTGCTGCAACCTTGGCAGGTTGTTCCACTGTCTCCCAAACACCTCGCCTCCATGATTGCTTCTACCTTGATCTTCCAAGCAATATAGTTTGTCGCCGTCAATTGTGGGTAGTGAGACAACACATTTTTGCTTTCCTTCACCATTATATTTGTGTTAACAATTGACATCGGATGAAATCATAGAATTTCTAAGTATACAATCGAATAGCTTTGATATCAGATGATGATTTTTAAGCTCCAAATCAAAAGTAAAATCTCAAAATTAGATAAATACCCCTACACTAGGGGTTTGTTCGCTTAGTGTTTTTCAGTAGAACGATTCTCTATAAATATTATTAAAAGTACAATATACACATATTAACAATTACATAATATATATTATCAATTTACAAAAGTTTAAAAAATTTAACACAAAATATTATTTTTAATATAATCAACAAAATTCTTCGTACCTAAGAGCAATTCGTTGCTGTCATTGCCTTTACCCTATTATCTCTCTCATCAACATCATATTATCTCAACATTCAAATTACTTTCTTTAGCACTCTTTATAATAATCACCTTCAACACATTGTCCTTATTATTTTATATGATTTACAATAATTTATTATATTTCCGTATGTTTTTATTATATAATATATATCATTTATATATTTATAGAGTATTGATATAACAATATTATGAGAATTATTGAAATAAATAGAATTCTTTCCTCTCCAAGAAAGGCCAAAGAACTTGGCCATGGACGAAGACCATCCCTCCAATTATCTTCAATGTGTGACATTACGCTCGCCCCGACTGCCAGCAGATACAAGTCTTTTCCACAAGACTCTTATCTTGCTACTAAGGGGCAAGTGAATGGACAGAACAGAAGCCTTGGTGATCCATACATATTCTAGGCACAAGAATCAGTTTTCCCATTACAAGGACTATGGAAACCAACAGGATGGTTAAGTTCGACTCCAAAGAGGATAGAGAAAAGGTCATCAATGCAATACACTATGACAAAATTCTTAATATATATTATTTTTTATATTAATAATGCAATACACTATAACACAGGAAAAAAAAAAAAAAAAAAAAAAATCCAAGTAAAATATTAAATAAATAAACTCCCTATTTAAACAAATTGTTCTATTGAATGAATCAGCAAATGCGTACAGGTCATCCGAGGCTTGACTTTTCCCATATGACAGAACAGCTACAAGCCAGACCGAACCAGCGCCACCGCCAGCTACATGCCGAGCGGCGGCGGGCCCACCACCTCCCTCGCCGACACCGCTCGCTCTTCTTCTTTCTCATACGTTTTCCATAATCTCGCCCAGCCTCTCCTCGGCTTGCCTTTTCAATCTTATCAGTGTTATTGACACACTTTTACTTCGTCAAGCTTTGGGGATTTACGAGCGATTGGATCGATCGATCAATCGCGCATCTCCACTTCCTTGAATCCTCCTCCGCGTTTGCATTCTACCTTTGTCATTTGTTGTATATTCTGCTCGTCACCGACACATCGGATTTTGTTTTCCACGCATCGATCTTTTGCTTGCCGAAATTGTGGTGTACTTTGACGAATAATGGATGAATTCGGAGTTCTGGTTGAGAGCATTGGGTTCAGAGCTCATGGAAAATCGGCGCCCATGGCGGCATTGAAGCACAAACCTAGATCTCACTTCGCAGCCCCCAGCACCGTTAATACGCGTGCGTTTGATGATTCTTCTTCGTTGCCTGTTGATGAGCTAGACGGAATATTCCGATCCAGTGTTAACATCAGCAAAACTCATCAGCCTCAGAATTTCTTCGGTGGTGATGATATATTCGGGGGACCAGTTTCAAATTCTCACCACAACGGAGGCGTTGATTTGGAATCAGTGTTCAGCAGCTCGAACAAACATAGTGGTAGTTTGACTTCAAGTAATTCTTCAGCTTCCAATTCCAATACCAATTCCTATGATGATTTGCTGGGATCGAATGGATCAAAGTCAGAACAAGGAGATGCTGTCGTTGATTTGTTTGGGATTTTTGAGGGGTATGGTAAGCAGGGGAAAAAGCAGGCTGCATTGGATGATTTGATACCAGGAGTGGGAGGAATTCGCTCTCCTAAGACCAAGTATGTACTCATCATTGTACATCTTCTGATTGTGAGCGAATATATGCATATGTTATGAAGAAATTAGGGTTAGGTTTACTTTTCAGTTGTGAATTATGTGGCTAGATAGTAGAATTCCTGAAGTTAATTCATATTGTTTACTTTTTAGCATTGTAGATTCAATGAAATTTCGATTGATTTTTCGTTTCTTACTGTGCTTCTACTTGGTTAGATTTCTGAGTTTTATTTATCTGTTCTTAATGTTCAGTTTCTTGGGTTCTTAATTCTTATTTGGTATTACCTTGAGCAGTGGATACACTAATGCCGGCAGAAATCTGTCTAAATCCAGCTCGGCTGTGGCTGATGATCCATTCCTTGTTTTTGAATCATCTGCACCTCAATCAGATGCCTCCTGGCCATTTGACGTGCAGTCGGTAAAAGATACAGGAAAAGGTTCGGTTCAATCTTCAATGGATGACTTAGATGACTTTTTTATGGGTGGGGTGAGGAATGGTTCGAATGTTGAGCAATCACGGAACACATTCAACAAGCTGAGTCCAGGGACAAGATCAAATAGATTTAAGAATACCAATTATGTGGATGAAACTTTTGGCGGTGGCAATCATGAGCAGCGCAAGAATGCAGCAAGACCAAGTCGTGTGGCAGAGGTAGAATAGTCAATCTAGCAAATGTTCGATCGGAATTGTACTTTAGAGTAATTTGATTGATTTTGTTTTTGGTTATCAGAATTCCCTCTTTGATGATTTCTTCCATGAAGAGAAGAGGACTGAGGTGAAGAAGAGTACGTCTTCACAATCGACATTCAACACAAGGAAGGCCTCCATGTCTACGACCCCTGGAGATGATTTCTCTGCTCTATTTGGAGGTATCATCACTTTTAGTAGTTTTGTTTTTTGTACTTCGAATTGCATAAGTTGATTTAGATAATTGAATCTGGGATGAAATGTGAAATAAAGTATATTTAATTAGCTGTTTCTGGTGAACATTGGAACAATTGTGTGGCCGTAGTAAGTGTTCATTTGGAAGTTTCAGTGTTTCGCCTAATCTTTGTTGGCGTATCAGAGAAAAACTCTTATATTGGTCGGATTCTTGTTGCCTTCCTGCTTGCAGATGTTATCCCTTCATCAGGGGAGTTTGTAGAGATAGAGGGGGAACCTGCAGAAAGACGAGCAGCTAGGCGAAAACGTTATCTGATGACAAATACTCGAATGGTACATCGTACAGCTCTTTCCTTTTCTTGTTTTCTTGCCCTGTATCCTACGTGTAGAACTGTTGAATGCACGTGCACATTGAGCTGTAGAGTTATATAGTTTGACTTTATGTCGACTGTTCTTTATGTCTTGGCTTATGCATTTGGAGCAGATTTGTAATTAGATTTCTTTCTCCTTTCCAGGCTGAGGCGCTAGCTCTAAAAAATCAGCGTGATCATCAAATTCAATGTGAACAGGAAGAGAAGCGTGTAAGGCTCTCCGACAAAGATGTTTAGAACCATTGCGCCCGTCTTTGAATTTTGACAAACAGGCTGTCTTATGCATTTTAGGAACTTGGTGAAGCTTTGGACAATGAGATAAGGCGATGGGCTGCTGGAAAGGAAGGAAATCTTCGAGCCTTGTTGTCCTCATTGCACCAGGTGTCTTTTTGTTTGTTTGTTTGTTTGTTTGTTTTTTTTTCCTTCCCCCATTACACAAACCGTATGGTTACATAAATTGAACGAGCTATGCCGCAGATTTTGGGGCCTGAAAGCGGTTGGCGGCCTGTGGCACTAACGGACTTGATAACTTGGGATTCTGTTAAGAAGGCATACATGAGGGCAAACTTGTATGTCCATCCGGACAAAGTTCAACAAAGAGGGGCGAATATTAGGCAACAATGCGTAGCAGAAAAGGTCTTCGATCTTCTCAAGGTATGCAATGGAGCTTACATTGTTTGTGGTCGACGAAATTGTGCTGGAAATTGATGAGCTTGTTTGATTGTTGTTGATAGGATGCCTGGACCAAATTTAGTTCGGAGGAACTGCGATGAGATGAGACGAGTGAAGTTAAAAAGATGAAGAAGGTTTGTAATTGTATGGTATGTAATCTTGTCTATTCTTTGCAATTAATTGCATTCATTGATTCGAATTATTATTGATGAATAATCTCAATCATTTGTTGGTGTTGGTGTTGGTGTTGGTGTTGGTGTTGGTGACTGAGTTGTATGGAAGCTGCTTTTGTCTGTTCATGGTAGCTAGCTAGTTGTGTTACGCTTGCCCGGAATTTCAATGTGACTTTGAAGTGGCTTTTCAGCATCATATTGAATTTTTAAATCGATCATCCTATAATAATAATAATAAATTAACGATTGATATTCATGATAGCGATGAATAGTCATTCAATTAATGTTGCTAGATACGTTATGAATTTTTTTTACTCCCTCTGTCTCATCTAAAGAGTAAGTTTGCTTTCTGCACGTAGATTTTTTAATATTAGTATTATATTGGGTTGTAGTAAAAAAGACGAAAATACCTTGTTAGTATTGTGGAATATAAATGTGGTGACATTTGTGTAATATATTGTAAGTTGGAAGGGTATTTATTAAGTTAGGTAGACAATACAATTATTAAATTAGAAAATAGTACCCTTGTTTTGGGACCGATAAAAATGGAAAATAGAACCCTTTTTAGGAATGGATGGAGTATTATTTTTTTTTTCATTGCAATCAGATCTTTTTAGAATATACATACATGAATTTTTATGCTTTCTAAAATCCGACAAGGTTGGATATTGTAAATATGTTAAAATTATTATTATTATTATTGATGAATTTAAGTCGTCTATAGTGTTTTTAAAAAGTACATAGCAATAGTAGTTCTTATAAGTACATAGCTCTAGTAAACATTGAACAATGTGTTTGAATCAAATTTAATTGTTATGTATCTGAATTTATTTTTGGTTTCAATTGTAAGTTTTAAAATTATAAATTTATCTTTGAAATATTTTCGTTGACCCCGTAAATCATTGGATGATAAGACCTGAAATATATTTTAATTTTTTTAAGTTAATCTAACCATATTTATTTTTAAAACGTATTTCACATATGATTATTCAAATTTATCTCCATGACTCCATTTCATTTATAAATTCAATTGTTCATGGTATTATGAACTTTTGACCTTTCCTCGTATTGTACATCGTAGAGTGTAGGTTTGTGGTAGAAATTTTTAGTATTCATATTTTTCTATTTTTATATATTTTAGGGTGTGTTTCTTTAGACGCGGTTTGGAGAAATTGGATTTGAGTTTGGTTTATATTTGAATTTTTAAGTGAATTTTACTTTATTGTTTCTTTAGGGTTGTAGTTTGGTTTGGATTTGGGGGAAGTGATATGTATTGATTTGATAAGTGAAATGATTGTGTAGGATAATAGGTGTTTTTAGATTTGTTGTTTTTTATTTTTATTACGATGAAAAGGTGTTTTTGGATTTTTTTAAAATCAATTATATAAATAATTACTCTCGCATGCGAGCGTGTGAAGGAATGACATATGCAAGGGCGGAACGAAAGCCGCCGTCATTCCACCTAACTCCAAACTGAAACTCCCCGAAGCTACTACGAGCACCGGTACAAGACTTGAAACAAGGCACATTACTTCGAAATGCTTAAATCATGGTACATAAAAACGAAAAAGGACAACAACGGAACAGCACATGGGTGGCGAAAGACCAACGGTACGAATGCACGGAGTGAACGCCGTCTCCGAGCAAAGGATTTCAACACTTATTTGTCAGCGAGATCCGGTAGCACATCCCCACATATCATGGCATAAGTCGAAGTGGGGGAACGGCCGTTTAAGTAGATGGTTGTATCTGGGGTATGCCTGATGCGGACGACCAAAAGTTCATCTCTGTCATAGTTGAAAACACCAGAGTATATTGATTATTGAACTCAGCACTTACCGCTAGCCATGCGGCTTACTCCTCGATGGTTGCATTGACGAGTCCCATTGTCGTGTCCCAACGAAGGCATGTCTCCCGAACAACTAGGTCACATAAGAGAAAGTACGAGGACCAAATCCGCTTCAGCTTCTCTTTTAGCTGCCCTAGCTCAAATGCGTAACCGGTTTCATGATTGAATTGGTTATGTACCTCGTCCCAAAGCTGGACGCGGATGTGAGGCCCATCGAAGCCTCCAGCAAGCCACTGTACCCATACAATGTGTACGAATTGTTTTTCAAGTTGATAAGTCCACCGCGCCGGTGGAGTACATGACACCCTGGGAGTCCCTGCATAAGAAGGAAGCATATCTCTACTTTCAATAACTAGAAGGATAAAGGTTTCGAAGCACGAATGTTACTGTATGGAGTATTAATACTCCACATGGGTCACAAGAATAAATGCTTGGTCATACGTGCAGGGAGCAAGGCCTATAGAGGATAAGATTCGTAGATACGATCGTATTAATTATTTATGCCAACTCTTTTCATAATGTAGGGACAACCTGCAAACGTAGGGAGGTCAAGAGGGTGGATGGGGGATGAATTCCGTGGTATGCGCTTGTGGGTTGCACACCTAGTCAATTCGAAAATTAAATGGAGGTGATGTTAATTTTGCAGGTATAGTGGTGCAAGATGGTTGGGCTTTTTTAAAAAGGACAGAAAATATATAATGAAGTCTATTTGCGTGAAGAATCCTTTGTAAAATGCAGAATAACAGGTATTTAAGGCATGAAAAAAAGAACATTTGCAGCGTTGTAGATAACTATTATAACTATTACGCGTAAGTACTATAATTGGATGAAAGATTCCGGAAACGGGATGGGAACACCAGTAGCAACACGGCAAAAGGAGTTAGACACATAACGACATAATGGAAAACGTAGTTGTAATATGAGATCGAGTAGTCGTTCGGGGGTGGGAGTAAATAGTGGATCAGAGGTTCAATTGCAAAGTACCGTCCACGAATAAAAAGTGCTGCGATGGACAAACCTGCCAACGGTAAAAGGCTTCAACCGGTACCGGTGGAAGGGGGACCTACGTAAATGCCTCCGTCAGCGGGATGACGGTGTGCGACGAGCCGGCACACCAAAGTGAGTGCAAAGTGCCTCCACTCTCTCCTTAATGACGCGCAACCTCTCGTCAATCCGCGCCTCCATACGAAACACCCGATCCTCCATCGCGCCGATGCGTCAGATAGTTGTCACAGATGTGCCCTCGTCCGCCGCATTATCCGTTGGGGCCTTAATTTCCAGAGAGTTGTCACCGCGCATCCTCCTCCAGACAAGGCCTATTTGAATAAGCACATCGACTCCGGCAGGCCTCATCGTCGACGCCGGGCTTTCTCTGAAAAAGGTCGTAACGTGTAGGCCGTGGGCAAGTCGGGTCACATAAGGTCCAACGGCGATGGTACGAATCCTACCATCCGACGCTTGCCTTGCGAACAGTCGCGCAAGGCAATACCCAACGTGAATAGGGACCCTCCTCTCCATACTCCAAATATATTTGAGATCGTCGGAAGTGACCACACTCATGCTTGAGTTGCGGTCCGTGAGCGTGTGCGCCAGTACGTAGTGCAGGTACCGCAATGCCGGGGACCAGAGAGCTGAAGCCTTCGACTGACCTGGGTGGTATATGCGTTGGTTCGTCACTGATTGCCAGTACATTTGTTGTGTCGCTTGCAATTCTTGCGTCAGCGACCGGTACTCGTTGGTCTTTGTAAAGTCCTCGTCGTACAAACCCATGGCCGTAGAGAACTCCGTGCAAGAGAGGCGGAAGAACCTATTCCCCAACCTGAATTGGAGCGTACCCGGGTAGTCGACCTCATGTAAATGCTTCTTGTCCACCTCTAAAGTAGCAAGAAGCTCCAACGTTAAAGTCCGATGCGTGTCGTCCGTTATTGAAAAGTTTCGGCGCCACGTACCCACGCTAAGGTATCCCTCAACCTCGGCCGTGGCGTTCAATGCTGTTATAGCTTCATCGGAGATGTAGCGGCCCACAAGAAAGGACACATCTTCAAGGTGTTCGAACTTCATAGCTTGATCCGGATTTTGAAAAGGGAGCAGAGTCGTATCTTCAGCAGAGGGCGTTGCTCGCGCGCTCGCCACAGTGCCCTTCTTCGCAGTACGGCTGGGTTTTTTTGCAGGTGCCATCCCAAGCAGTTAACCACGGTCCTACAAAATCGATAAAATTTTTTTCTCACATATCGAATAACTTTCATAGGAGAGCAACATACCTGTCAATGAAAACAACAAACGAGAAACGCCACTGCCACGTCGACATTAACAGACAAGTGCAAATCTTATATGGCCGACGACGAAAGTTAGATTTATTGGAGGATCCATGAAGAAACAAGTGGCCTGCACGGCCATGCATACCACTGTGTGAAGTCCCAACCCTGAGAGGGCAGGGATTTAGAAGAGCCTCACCACGGTCGTGCATTCGCCCTCGTATTTCTCTGCCACCGCGAAAAGTCCACACGTCGGAGTGGTCACGGCCGTGCTGAAGGGGCAAAAATTCGTTGATGAAGTCATGCACTAGTCCAGTTCGGCGCTGCCACGGCCGTGCACGGCGGGTTGAATTTCTCTGCCACATATTAGTTGGAAAGAAGCTCGGCATTGGCACGGCCATGCAGAAGGGGACGTATCTGGCTGCCTCTTCTACACTGCAAGAAACATACGGTTGTGCAACACAGTGCTCTTCGGTGAGTTTTTCCGAGGGCAACACTGAGCGCTTATGGATGTACTCAATACTGAACTACGAGACTGACTAGAATAACATCGACAAGTGAAATTACATTACGTTTAAGACTCTTCGTTACTACACGGTCGATAGTTACCCACGAACACCTAAGGGATGACTCAATGATCCTAAGCAATCGAACTTATAGGCAGGTACCCTACGGGAAAAACCTTACATATTAACCCAAAGATACACAAGAACTGCCATCAGGGTTCACACACAACTTTTGGAAATTACGAGTCAGGCACACAACGTACGTAGTATATGGCGGATTAGTGTTGAGAGTCACAAAATATGTAATAGACAAAAAATAACGACAAACATTGACCGGGCCGTTTAAGGGTGTCCACTCTAAGGTAAGGTATCTGCCCACATTCCGTACGCCATGTCTTCTCTCCATCGGTTTCTGTCGGGGTCGGCGAAAGATGCAAGGAAGGCGTCGGTTATGTCTGGATCGTTGACAGAGGACCCTTCCTGATCTGCTGCAGGGTCGCTCCGTCGTGGCTCTTAACATTCTCCCCATTTGAAATAATGAAGTTATGGACGGTCGCGCAGGCATGTACGAGATTAACCTGTCGGAAGAATTTGTATGGCGGCATCAGACCTCTCAAAATTGCAAATCTCCTCTTTAGCACTCCAAAGGCGCGCTCCACTACATTCCGAAGTTGAGAGTGACGATAGTTAAATAGCTCTTTCGGTCCATTCGGGCCACCCGGGGTGTCGCGGAAAGTTTGTGAATGGTAACGATGGGACCGGAAAGGCGTCAACGTCAACGCAGAGTTCGTATAAGCTGAGTCCCCGAGGTAGTATTTTCCTACACCATTAATGGATGAAATGAAAGCACTATTCGGAGGAGGGAAAGCCTGGTAGGCGACGACGATGAGTAGGGGCACATACCAGGGGGGAAAGGAAAATCCCCGGCAACGGTGATGGCATGATTAAGAACACGTGAATCGTGTCCACTTCCCTCAAACCCAGCGTAAACGTAAACAAATCGCATGTTGAAATCTACCACGCCAAGGACGAACTGCTCGGTATCGGCCGTGCGGCTCCGAAAACGTGGCGCGTCCTCCGCTGGGACGGTGGCGTATATGAGTGTCCCGTCGAGTGCGCCAACACAATCCTATTCGTTAACCAATAATTAGACTTATTGTGTGGCCATGTATATAAAGGGCGTGGATGAGATGAGATCTACAACCTACGGTCGGGTACCTTGAAGTATGGCATGAAATGTCTACTCGTCTCGATGCGGGGATGCGTTCTATGTTTATCTTTAGGACATACAACCTCCACCCCAAGAAGGCACAATGACTCGCTGACACGCTTAACGTGACAGAATATAGTATGCGTGGAGTGCTGAAACCGTTCTGCACTGCTGCGGTGCCGGTTAGAGTGGGCGACAGTATGGAGGAAGATAGCGACCGCCTCGTGTACTCCAACGCGTATTTGTGCTATTGTCTTCAGGAGAGCCCACGCAGATAGAGTGTCGCATAGGTCGAGAAACGTACTCTTTGACACCCGTAGCAGATTCTTTATTTTAGCCGGGTGACCGTTAATCAGTTCTTTCGTGAATTCCGCACCACTTAGGGCCGAATCGTAACAACGTCTGCGTGCAATCACATTTGTGAAAGTGTTTAGTGCTAATGCGCTGAGTCTCTCCATTGCATCGATGTTGTTTTCGAACATCGTGTCATCATCGGAATCCTCGCTTTCTAGTTCTGCCCCTTCATTCTCGTCGCTGTCCCCGTTCTCGCTATCACTAGACGTTTTCTCCCGCAGGCTTCGGTAGTTGTCCACATTCGGGCCATTCGAACAACTCGCCATTTCCCCTTCGACCCTGGTATGTGAAAAACACAATATTGCATGAACAAAGGAAAATTCAATGTAGATGCTTCTAAACAGACAGTAACAGAGATCCCAGAAGGAAGTTGTTCACAACAAAGCGAGAAACTCAGACGAAATACCAGGTTAGTAAACAATGCAGAATAACGTGGACGAGTACTAGTATCAACAAGGTTAGTAACATATCGAAATAAGCTAAGTCAAGGTTGTTATAGCTCAGGTTCCTGGCGAGTGTCGCACAAATGAGAAAGCCCATGCCCGCTGCAGATCACTCGTCCAGTTAGGAAGAGGAATCGTTCGTTGTCTTTGCATATCGCTCTGGCTGCCCGAAGAAATGCATCTTGTGGAAGGTCCGTGAACGTTTGCAGAATGCGCTGAGCTTCGAGAAGGGTCCGTCTGCGCTCTTCGCGGTGATCGGTAAGCTGCGCCCGCAACTCTTGAACTCCGCTGCGAAGCTCACATTGAATGCGGTCTGCTAACTCAGCGTTTGTCGACGTACTAGATGGGCGCCGACGACGTACCTGACCCCCGGTCCGCATCGAAGAACTAGTAGGGAGTCATTGGTTGGTGGTTCTGTCGGCATCGCCTTCACCCGTGCCGTCGTCATTCTCATGTTCGCCCCTTATCGTGGACGGCCCCGCCGATCTCGTCTCAGTACCCTCGGTAGTGTCCATGCCTCGTGGCGGTGCATTGTTGGATTGAGTACTGGCTCCTGTGGCAGATTGAGGTCCAAACATATCATGACAATAGTCGAAGTGGGCGAATGGACGCGACAGTAGATGCCCATACCCGGGGTGTGCCTGCCAATAGGGACCGTGAGTTTCATGCTCCGTTTTCTCTCAATAATCATCAGATTAGACGCATACCATTAGCCACGCGGCCTTCTGTGCCTCGCTCGTATCAATAAGACCCGTCTCTGCGTCCCAGCCTAGCCCTGTCTGTCGAACGACAAGGTCTCGCAGTAGAGCATATGAGGTTTTCATCCGCTTAAACTTTCCTTGAAGTTATTCCAACTCGTAGTCGCAATCAGTCTCTTCATGGAGTTGTGTAACTATCTGTTGCCAAACCTCCGGCGCAAAGTTACCCTTGCAAAGTTCCTCAGCTAGCCAGTGCAACCACAGGATGTGCGTAAAGTACAGCTCTAGCTCGTAAGTCCAATTCGCAGTAGGTTTGCGTGGAGCAGCAGGGTCTGCTCGTTGGCGAGGCATCTGTCGGAAGTGAAACGACGGAATGAGATGCATGTCAAAAATCTAGGGAAATCAACTACTTAGGAATCGTAACGGGGGACCCATCCTCAAAGGATGTTCTTACTGATACCTCGCGTTTTCTCTTACAGCGACACAAGACTCGACTACTCCCTACGGAGCTTTCGGCGTCGGGAATTTCACGGGCGTCCAGCTTTGCACGCTTCGGTAAGGCAATAATGGAATTGCGCAGGTTAATGTGTGTTCAGTGTAAAGTGAACACGATACAACAAAATAATGCATTTAAATTTTTAGACCAAGACAAGGGGAGGAAAGGAGACCGTTTCATCGTACTGGCTACACATTTTTTAAGTTCGGAACAAATAAACGTACGAATGAAGTGTATGTTCTTGCTATTGTTCCTGTCGACAGTAACCACCCCACCGTAGCATCACAACACAACCCTTTGTTGTATTGTAACGGTTCTATCCCGATGTATGTACGGTAGGGATGCCCCTACCGTGCAACCCGGGAAAGCCTACGGTTAACGACTCAATTGGATATCAAAGAAACTCGATACACCCACACGTATAGGGGGAAAGATCTACGAACATGTACCGTTTACGAGTCATCTTGGTTTTTCTCACTGTTTCGAAAAGTTCACACGGCGAGAATATTAAACTACATAGATCGACGCGTATGAGAAAGGTGACAACGATCACGTAAATGATGTCGAGAATAAACTAGTCAGTAACTGTAATTACCATCACCCAACAAAAAAGACAACCACATATTCACTCGCTCGAGGAGCCTTCCTCAACACATCCATATGTACACTTGAGCGACAATGGCAATCTATAGTTCCGGTATATTTTTTTCGCAAAAGAAATGATGAAAATGCCGGTCATCGGAGCCCTACGCACTACTACACAGATGGAGGGGGAGAGGGCTACACCCTGGCAACCCCATTATCCGAAGACGCTCGTAATTTCTCATGGATTTCGATAGTCGTTATAGAGTTGCGAAGTCTACCCTAAACAAATATGTACTACGAATTGCGACATATATCTTTTTATCATTTTCTATGACTGTTGATAATGGAGGCTGCCTCGTCACGACAAAGTACTTCCACTTTTGTTGGTACCGTTCTATCCATGTTATTCCACAAGTTCGCCCTTATGAGACCTTAACCCAGACCCCCCTCGGCTACCGCTATATTGAAACCCTCCTTGGTACCCTCTTAATTGCCATTCTAGTTAGGTCAAGAATTAACAGATTGAAACATTCTACGTTACCCACAGGATGTCTCGCATCACAAATGCCCCTCTATCACCGATTGACAACACCGAAAGCCTTAACGATGCAGATCGAAACATATTTCACTGGGAAAATGCAGATCACACCCTACAAACTTTGCGATAAGTAGTAGCAGACATCGAAGAGATGCGTACCTTGATCCGTCGTCCCTTTCGAGCCTTGCCGATACTGGCCCGGGCGCCGCACACCTGAGCCTGCAATGCTGCTCGCCACAGAACCACGGTCCAAATGCGTCGTACCCTTCGACTCGCCGGACCTCCGTCGCCTTCAAACCGCCGGTTTCGGACCATCAACTTCGCAGGAATTGGGTGCGCGATGCTCTGCGTGTAAATGAAATGCCAGGGGATGGTGTGCACCCCACCTACCTCAATTAATGGTTAATTTTTTTTTTTTAAAAAAGAAGATAAATAGTCGTAGTAGGCATGACAGCCTAAAGAATCTCTTCAGACGCTATCGAATAGGCATGTCGAATCGTGTCATAAACGGGGCTTCGCTATCACAGTGGCTGCACAGTAGATTTGTCCCAAATCGTGTAAAAGAAACACACCCTTAATTATTTCATTACTATCTTGATGTTGTATACGAACTCTACACAATGCAATGACGTTGATAATGTGTGGCTGCCTTGTTGGTTAATTTTCTAACCTCACAATCATTTCTCCCTTTACACCTATATATATGTATGGCTTGTATGAATAAAATTCATCCATTTTTTATTCTCTCAAAAATCTCTCTGTGCTCTCTTATGTATATTTACACATACATATACATATATTCATATATCTATTACACTTATTATTATTTATATAACACGTTATCAGCACGAAGGTTCTTGGCCATTTTATTTTTGGTTAAATGGATGCCAATCAAAATGATGCAAATATGTGTTTCATTGACAGTGCAACGACACATACTATATTGAAACATGAAAAATATTTCTCCCATTTGAAAAAGGGAAAGAATGAATTTCAATACAATAAGTGGCAGTGCAAAATTAATTTAAGGCTCTGGAGAAGCTATTATATTTCTCCCCGCGGGGACGAAAATTGTGATACAGTATGCACTATTGGCCACTAAAGCTCGAAGAAATTTACTGAGCTTTCACGACATTCGGAAAAATGGTTATACCGATGGTGAATTTATTGATCACCAATATTATTGATAGAAAGAAATGCATCATTGAGAGATTACCGTCACTCTCTACTGGCTTATACTATGCCAGATTCGGTGTTGTTGAAATACATTTCACGGTAGATCAAAAGACTACCGATTTTCAAATATGGCATGATGGCCTTCGGCATCCTGGCAGTATAATGATGAGACGAATAATTGAGAATTCACATGACAATTCATTACAAAGTTAAAAAGTGTTAAACTCAAATGAGTTAACCTGTGTTGTCTGCACCTAGTGAAAATTGATAACTAGACCATCGCCAGCTAAAGTAGGTGTTGAATCACCTACATTTTTGGAAAGAATACACGCGGATATATGTGGACCAATAGACCCACCATGTGGGCCATATAAATATTTTATGGTACTTATTGATGCATCTACCAGATGGTCACATGTCTATTTATTATCTACTCGCAATATGGCATTTGCAAGATTGGTTGCCCAAATTATTAAATTACGGGCACAATTCCCCGATAATCCAATTAAGACTATACGTTTGGATAATGCTGGTGAATATACGTCGAATGCATTTGATGATTATTGAATGTCAATTGGAATTAATGTAGAGCACCCAGTTGCTCATGTTCATACACAAAATGGCCTGGCAGGATCACTTATTAAAATATTGCAATTTATTTCTAGACCATTACTGATGAGGTCTATGTTGCCCATTTCAGCTTGGGGGCATGCAATCTTACATGCAGGAATACTAATAAGAATGAAGCCCGTAGCTATTCCCCGATGCAATTAGTATTTGGTCACGAACCAAATATATCTCATCTGCGTATTTTTGGGTGTGATGTTTATGTTCCTATTCCACCTCCCAAACGTACAAAAATGGGTCATCAACGTAGATTGGACATTTATGTCGGATATGAATCGCCGTCAATTATAAAATATCTTGAACCTATGACGGGTGATTTATTCACTGCAAGATTTACATATTGTCATTTTGACGAATCATATTTTCCGACATTAGGAGAAGATAGAATTGAACCAAAAATGGATATTAATTGGAAAATCCCATTGAATTTTTGTGATCCTCGTACAAAACAGTGTGAACTAGAAGTTCAACGCATTATACATTTGCAAAATATTGCAAATCAGTAACCGGATGCATTCAATGACTCGAGTAAAGTCACTCGATCATATATTCAAGCTGCTAATACTCCGGCTGAAATAATTGTCATTGATGGACAAATTGGAAGTGCTAATGAATCAGCGACACGCTTGAAGCGTGGAGACCACTTGGTTCCAAAGACAAACATCCTCGAAAGAAAAGGTGAATTAATGATGATAATCATGAAAATATCGGGAATGACATTGATAAACCTCAATCTAACGAGGAAGTCAACCCTGAAATAATTGCTCCAGAAGAGCACGATCTTGAAGAACATGATGAGATTATTGAAAACTCAATTAACTATATTACTTCAAGAAAATGTTGGAACTTCAAAGAGGCAATTATTGATAATGCCATCGCATACAGTTTAGCACTTGATATAATGGAAGAAAACGAGGATCCATAGCCAAAGTCAGTTCATGAATGTCGGCAAAGAAATGACTGGCCAGAATGGGAAAATGCGATTCAATCAGAGCTTGACTCATTAAACAAGAGAGAAGTCTTCGGACCAATTGTTCAAACACTAGATGGTATAAAACCAGTTGGATACAAGTGAGTGTTTGTACGAAAAAGAATTGAGCATAATTAAATTGTGAGATATAAAGCCCATCTTGTAGCTCAGGGATTCTCACAAAGGCCTGGAGTAAATTTTGATGAAACATATTATCCAGTTGTTGATGGAATAACTTTTAGATACCTTGTGAGCGTAGCAGTGCGAGAAAAACTCAATATGCGTCTTTTAGACGTAGTTACTGCATATCTTTATGGCTCGTTAGATACTGATATTTATATGAAAGTTCATGAGGAATTCAATATGTCCGAAGCATACAAATTAAACCCAAAGAAATCATATTCCATCAAATTGAAAAAGTCACTGTATGGACTTAAACAATCAGGGCGAATGTGGTATAACCGTCTTAGCGAATGTTTAATAAAAGAATGTTATACTAATGATCTAATACGCCCATGCGTCTTTATAAAGAAAAAGAGATCAAATTTTGTCATTATTGCAACATATGTTGATGATCTCAATTTAATTGGAACTCCAGAAGAGATCCAAATTGCAGTTGAATATTTAAAGAAAGAATTTGAGATCAAAGACTTTGAAAAAACAAAATAATGTCTGGGATTACAAGTGGATCATGTTAATAACGGAATATTTATCCATCAATCCACATATACCCAGAAGGTATTAAAGCAATTCTATATAGATAAATCTAACTCTCTGAGTACATCAATGGTGGTCAGATGCCTTGATCCCAGTAAATATCCATTTAGGCCAAAATAAGAAAATGAAGAAATACTTGGCCCCGAGGTGCCATATGTCAGCGCTATTGGCGCATTAATGTACCTTGCAAATTGTACCAGGACAGATATATCTTTTTCAATAAATCTACTGGCCAGGTTTAGCGCATCCCCGCAAAGTGCCATTGGAATGGTATCAAACACATTTTTCATTACCTTCAGGGGACTCATGACCTCGGTTTATTTTATTCAAGTGAATCTCGAAAGGAATTAATTGGTTATGCTGATGCTGGTTTTCTGTCTGATCCACACAAAGCAAAATCTCAAACTGGCTATTTATTTACTTGTGGCGGAACCGCAATCTCTTGTGAGATATGCTAAACAGACGATAACAACTACTTCTTCAAACCATGCTGAGGTTTTAGCAATTCACGAAGCTAGTCGTGAATGCGTTTGGTTGAGGTCTATGATTCACCATATTTAGAAAAATTGTGGCTTGATTTTTGATGATGTATTACCTCCTACAATATTATTTGAAGATAATGCAGCTTGTATAGCTCAATTAGAAAGATGATATATTAAAGGCGATCGAACAAAACATATATCTCCGAAGTTCTTTTTCACTCTCGATCTTCAGAAAAATGGTGAAATTAATGTGCAACAAATTCGATCGTCTGAAAATTTTGCAGACTTGTTTACGAAGGCACTATCGACTGCAACATTCAACAAACTGGTGCAAGGAATTGGAATGCGTCGGATGAAAAACATTAAATAAAGTTCAAAACAGGGGAAGCGCATTAATACAAGAATGATGTACTCTTTTTCCTTCCCTATGATATTTTCCCACAGGGTTTTTTCACAGTAAGGTTTTAATGAGACACATTATTTGTATAAAGGCATCCAAAGGGGAGTGTTGTATACGAATTGTACACAATGCAATGACGTTGATAATGTGTGGCTGCGTTGTTGGTTAATATCCTAACATCACAATCATTTCTCCCTTTACCTATATATATGTATGGCTTGTATGAATAAAATTCATCCATTTTTTATTCTCTCAAAAATCTTTCTCTGCTCTCTTATGTATACTTATACATACATATTCATATATCTATTACACTTATTATTATTTAGGGTATATTTCACTTTTGGTACTTCTGTTATTTGAAATTTGCGTAATACACCTTATGTTTATTTTATCGCATAATTTACATTTATGATATAACAAATTCTGCACTAAATCCCCAATCCGTCCACAATACACTGAGAGAAAAATACACGCGCTATTTATGCGTGTATTATAAAAACAAGCTCTCAAAGGTCTTATGAAATGACGTAAATGTCCTTTCATTGTATCTGAATATTGTTCCAATAAATATAATTTTTGATTGTCGATCATATGCCCTAACTCAAGCATTCTTCCTTTACCGTCGAAGCCCTCTTCACCGAACGACGATTGATATTCGCAAGGGAGGGATTCAAAAATAACCTCTAAAAATTCGTCGTGCAAGTAAGAATTTTTGGTTTCTTAAATTAGTGTTATTGTTCCTGAGTAATTTGATTTCACGTAAGAATTTGTGTTGGGTTAAGAGAGAAGATTGTGTTGTTTTGATGATAGTATAAGTGTTAACTTTGTTGCGTTGGCGTCGCTCCCTTCCTTATAATTTTATTCAATTTTTGTAGAAAATCTTAACCTTTTGTTTTATTTTTATGGAATTAATTCAGTTGCTCGGGCAGTAGTGATGTTATTTTAGCGATAGTAGAAATTAGGGATAGATATTTTATGTTCCAGCCAGTTTTCGATGAAGACTTGTTGATCGAGTTTGTTGCTAATTTAGAACAATTTTCATTGAATGGGGCTGTTTTATTTGTTTTTCTTATAAATATTCGGATTGAATTGTATAGTCGATTTTGCTTTTGTTGAATAGGTGGCGTTAATGTCTACGACATCCTCGAATAGCAAAAGAGGCTTGAGAGCGGAAGTACTGGATTTAAGATACAAGAATCCAGTATGTAAATGCGGAAAATATACTGCTATTAGGGTCGTTGGGCCTACCAAAGATACCGAAGGTAAGTTTTTTTGGAATTGCAAAATCAGACAATGTGATTTTTTTTGTTGGCTTGAAGCCTTGAATGCACAAGAGAAGGAACGATCAAAGTTGAGAGTCGTTAACTCTGACGAAGAAGATGAAGTAATTTCAAAACCTGAAGCAAGTATGAATGCATGTCATGGTGCCATAGGGAGGGCTGAAATGGACAACATTGCTAGAGTGATAGAGTTGAACATAAAGCATTTGGAAAAAAATACGAATAGGGTTACATATCTTTGTGTTTTTGTTTTTGTTGTTCTTGCATTTATGGTAATATGTAAGTAGGTGTCTATGTTTTTCGGTGTTGTATTTAGAAATATCTCTTGTATTCGGTGTTTGAACTATTGTTATGACATCTTTTGGATTTCATTGTTATGACATCTATTGTATTCGGTGTTTGAATTGTTGTTATAATTTCAAAACCTGGATTGAACTGATTTCATTACAAAATTGGATTGTTGCTTGTAGTGATGTATTTCAATGGAGGTGCATGATTGAAGGAACCAGCTGCAAGGTGAGGTACAGATAAAGCTACGTGACAATAGTTACTAATAAACATGTAAATCTTTTCACCAAGGTAATGTTAAGACTTCATGAAATACTCCATGTCCACATGCCAATATGAATTCTAAATATCCATCCTCATGCTATATAGCAGAATAAATCATTGTTTGATTTATGCAAAAATAAAACAATCCAAATCATTTTAGTGAGACAGATAATGAACTTGGGCAGAGGAGAAAATCACCTGAATCCATACATGACCTTAAATTATGGTAAATGAATGAAAACAACAATTTTTTGTTATATCTGTAACATCCCCAATTGGCTCATACTGGAAATGCTACCGCCACACTGCATCATGAGGTCGTCACCTCATACTTCAGGCCTCACAATACAGTGTTAAGGCTAAAATTAACCATAAAAGCGCATTATTATATAACAAAATCTGATTTATGAATATTTACAAAACACACTCCTAAACAAGAGGTTTTTTCGGTTAAAAGTTCACTCACTCAGCCCGTCTTTCTATATCCCGAGACGTCCCCTGTCTCGGATGTGCCATGCATACCTGAAACAAATATTTTTCCGAAAAGCAGTCTAGAATTAAATCCATTTTAAGAACTAACATGAAATATGTCATTTCATACATTTTCAAATATAAAGTTTAATTCCTGATGCAATACAAATATCAAACTCGACAACAATGCACATGCACATATATATACCTCCGACGAAGTGAGCAGCCGGAATAACCTCGGCTCCATAATAATAGGCTCACTGCATCTGTCTAAGTAAGCAGCCGGAATAACCTCGGCCCCGTAATAACAAACTCACTAGACCATCATCAATAAATAGCCGGAAAATCCTCGGCTCAAGTAAGGACCTGATAAACCCATAATAATATAACGGTCATCCGGTCACTCCCATATACCCACCATACGACTCCCACAATCAATACATGGATAGCCGAACGTTGTCTCCATTAACCACAAGACGCCCCATAGTCTGTGATAGCGAAGATAGGACCCCCATTGACTAGCCATATCCCGTGTAATGTAGTAGAATCCGTGCAACCTGGAATCACCCAAGGGAAACCCGGAAACTCTACTCCTCCTCGCGCGCCCTAACGGGATCACGTTTGGAGTTTGACATATGATCCTAAACTACCGGTAGACCTCACTAGTAGCTACTCCAATGAGTGGAACAACACCAAACACGAATGATTAGTCCAAATACGTCTCAACTACAATGGGTTTAATCCCTGAATGACCGTGCGACTAAGTCACCCAGTTGTCCGACTACTATCGTCCACTATCGCCAAAGTGTTACGGTACATCAGAGTCGAATATCTTAACCCCAGATGATGCCCTCGCCTAGCACTACCGCACACGGCGACTAAACGATTGATCTATAAAACATATCCGATAAACCGTGCAATATGTGTGCAACATGCCAAATAAGTGAATTTACCGAAAATGGCTGGTGAGACAGCTCACCTATCCTCATTTTCATAAATTCACCAACGCGATCAAATACGTATATTAAATATCATAAACCGTGAAGTCTCCCACATGCATACGCACACATATATAGATAAATATATACATGCACTGACAAAATGATTCACATAATATCACATTAACATATTAATCAAAATCGCATGCAACATGCATACCTAATTTCTTAAAATTAGATTTAATTCTTTACTGCTTACCTCTTATCAACACTCCTTAACTTTTGTAATCTCACCCAAATCTCCTCCATCGTACACCGAAGTCGGAATCGAAATCGAACGGCTAAATCTTTTTCTTTTTTCTTTTCCTTCTCTCATTTCTTTTCTTTTCTTTCCTACTCATCTCTGCCTGCATTCTTCCTTTCGAAGTAATGGGTGAGTTTATTTATTTATTTACTATATATATATATTTATATTATTATTATTATATTACTATTATTATTATTATTATTATTATGATTATTATTATTATTATTATTAACATTATCGCCACCAACTTCAACATTATCTTTCTGATTATTATTATTATTATTATATTATTATTATTATATTTTATATTTATCCTTATCGATTTTTTTTTCTATTTAACAGTCTTTTAAATCATAATCAATATATAAAATAGGAATAAGATTTATTCCAGAGTATTAATTTCTTGATCCCAAAATATTATAAAAATATTTATTTGCTATAATAATATTATTTTATATATTTCAAAATCGGGGTATTACAATATCCTTATGCAAAGGAGTTCAAAACAAAACTAATAATATATATTTAAAATCACAGCACATGATGCCAAATGTTTGATGGTCTAATAACCTGGCATGTAACACAAAAAACATACTTCAAAATCACAGCACATGATGTCACATGTTTGAAGGTGTAATAACTTGGCAGGTAACACAAAAAACATACTTCAAATTGACACAAACTACGTGCCAATTTGCAACCAAATCACCCAAAAAAAACCATATACGAGAAGACTATGCCATTGTCTAACTAACAACAAATATTTAACACTATTTAATACAATCACGACTCCAGTTCAGAACTAGCAACACGCCTTGGACCATTACTTCCTTGATGCGAGGTATGAGGTTGTCTTGGCTTGTTAGAGAACCTTAATGCACGTAACCTGGATGCAAGTGATGATCCAACTAGTTGAGTTCTAACATTTAGACGTGGCAAAACCGTTAAAGATTGAGAGCTGAATGTGGTAATCACATTTCCTTGGCTTCAGAACATCGATATGGGTTTTTTTGATTTTCGAGGAAGTTTTGAGGGCTGCTCCTATAAAATACAAAAATATAATTAATATGTACGAATATAGAGTTATTACTTGGGCAGGTAACTACAAATTTCGAAATTATATTTACTTTTGTTTGACTTTGATCGAAATCGGTAGCTTTTGTCCTAACTTGGCCGGTTGATTGCGTAGAAATTGTGGCCTGAACATCTGTCCCAATTTTTCCAGGAATAGCAGTTTGAGGGTCCTCCTGTATCGGTTCAAAAAAAATGTACGATATTAAATTTTCAATATATTGTATTTCTTCAACGTAAATAGTTTCATAAGGTAGTAAATCAGTAACCTGAGCATGCATTGGTGAAGATACTCTTGTGTCTTGTGCGCTACTGTGAGTCATCTTTCTTTTACAAAACTAATTGTGTTTTCACATTGGATTAGTAGGTATGGAAACTTCATGAAAAATTACAAGACTAATATCTAACTATCATTTTTTAACAATATATTATTTTAGTTGAAGGTATACTAACTCGTCGGGCATGTCCATCACAGGTCATGGTCTGTTCGGGCCGAGCTGGACCATCAACATCAGCAGATAATTCACCTTGTCCCTATAGAATACATATTAGTGTTTTCTCATGCATGCATCACTTAATAATTCAAGCAGTAAATTAAAATATTACCTTTGCAAATCTGGAATTTGGGTGTGGTGTTTTTTTGCAGCTTCTTTTGTTATGGCCTTGCTTATGGCATATAGCACAAGTATGAGTTAACCCTTTTCTTGTTGCCTTCGATGAATCTTTGATATCATTTGCATCAGGCCGTCGCGCTTTTTTTGGCTTGCCAGCTCATTTTTTTATAATTGGAGGATTAACAATTCCAAGAGAGGACTTCTCAAAGTCATGCATTCCAGGTACTGGACTGATTATGTGGCTGTACAAGTATAGGTACATCTGTTTGCTGAAGTAGACATCCACAAACTCCAATGGATCCTGTCTATGCATGTCCAGGGCAGCAATGGCATGACAACAAGGGTATCCCACTAACTGAAACATACCACAAGTGCAACTCTTCGACTTAAGATGAATAACATGATTTGATTGCAAATGCATGATCTCGAATTTGTCCTCACCTGCCCAACTCGGGAAACAGTTCCTACTTTCCTTTCTTTGCACCTCAATCTTCTTCACAATGTTTGGACAGATTGAGCCATCATATTTCTCCATTCCTTCCCTCTTAATTTGGATGCGGGTCATGCTCTTCCTTCTAATCCATTCAAACATTTCAATGATTGGGAGATCGCGGGCAGCCATGATATAGTGATTAAAGGACTCACTAGTGTTGTTGACCAAAACATCACACTTAGTTCTTGTCGGAAAATAAGACCTTGCCCATTGATGTTCCGGAATGTCGGACAACCACTCAAATGCATTTTTATTCTCATTTACTTTTGGATTACACTTCAATATTTCTTTCATGGTTCTCTTGTGCTCGTTGATATTGTATGTTGAGGCTGCCTTCCAAAATAACCTCTTCAACTCCAATCCTTTAAACTTCATCTTGAAGTTATTGTACATATGACGTAGACAAAAATGATGCTCAACATCTGGCGCATGCTTTCCTAATGCCTCAATCGGACCTTTTTGTCTGTCAGACAAGAATGACCATTTACCCTCTCGAGCTTCTCCAATGTCTCTAAATAACAAATTCAAGAACCAATCCCAGCTGTCAAACTTTTCGACCTCAACAAATGCCATTGCTATCGGATAGATATTGTTATTCTCGTCCATTGTTGTTGCAGTTAGAAGCTGCCCCTTATACAACCCCTTTAAGAAACAACCATCTAATCCAATAATTGGCCTACACACCACTTTAAAACCATCTGAAAGAGGTTTTAAACAAACATACATTCTCTGCAGTATTGGAGGAGTTAGCTCTCGATCTACTTTCAATACACAAGAACTACCAGGGTTGTGTTTGCATACTGTCTCACAGTAATCATACAGTCTATTGTACTGCTCTTTAATATCCCCTTTCAACAGATCTATAGCATGTTGCTTTGCTCGATAAACTTTATGGATGCTTACATCCACTTCAACATCTCGTCGGATTTTCCTCCGTAAAGATTTCAGAGACTCTCCAGGATTGTCTTTCACGTAATTCATAATTCTTTTGTCCAAGTACCTATTGGAAAAATACTGTTACTCCAAAATAAATATAATATAGTAACACAAAAACCATTAAATAAACAAAAAAAATGTACATAAATAATATTACTAGCAGAATAGTGTTACAGCAGTCATAAAATCATTACAATACCATCTAAAGCCCCTTCAATAAATTACAACTTCACTACATTAAGCTAATTTAATCCACATGTAATTTAATTGTAGGCCGCAACGTATACTAGCATTATTTATTAGCTAGTGAACACCCAAGCACATATATATATATTCATGAATTAATAACAAAAAAAAGAACAGAAATAATATAACTCACAAAATAGGATTATAGCAGCCATAACATCATTACAGTACCATTTACTAACACATAATTATATAGGATAAGTTATGAAGACTAAAATGCATACCGAAAATCTGCTTGTGAGTTTGTTGTCATATGAGCACATATGTGTCCTCCTTTAAGTGTTTAAATTTGAAATGTATCACCCTTCATGATTGCTGATGCTCGAATATACCATTCACAACCCTTTTTGCAAGTAGCACTTACAACGTGTTTTTCCATCTTTGGGTACTTCAAGTCCCAACCTTTGCGAACTGCCCAATCCTTTAATGCTTCCTTGAATTTTTGTCTTGATGGAAATTTCATGCCAACTTCCAAATTTATGGCAGCCATATTTAGGCTTTCATCCCATTCCTTATATCCAATTTATTCTTCTTCAGATAGTAAAGGAGCCTCGAAAACAGTCCCTCCTTCTGATGCATCATCGCTATACCAAATAGAACATTGTGCCCTCTCCTTTCCACTCACCTTGTCTCCTGGTACCATCGAAAACAAATTTCTCTTTTTTTCTTTCATTTCTTAAAACCCTCAACTTCTTCAACAATTTCTTCATTCTATCTCGGTCATTCTCTGGCTTCTCAACGAAAATATCATCGTCTGACGGACCATCAAAATCATCATACATCCATGATGGATCCTCATAATCGCTCTCATTAATTGTGGCCAATTCTCCAAATCCATCTACAACACCATCATCACCACTCCATTCCAACCTTTCATCCCTATCACTACCACCTCCGCCACCTAGCCTCTCATCGAAACTCCTGACCCCCGAATTTGTAGCATCATCAGCCTCCCCTGCATCTCCCTCAAATATCCCTTCACCAACATTTGTTGTCTCATGTGTCATGTGATTTCCATACTCAACCTAATGCACATTAGAAGCTTTGAAACTTGAAGCATCATTACTTTTATCACCATAGTTTCCAAAATCTCTAATTGTATCCCAATTCTCCCATACAGCATCTCGAACCAAATCAGGATTAGGATCATCATGTCTCCCTGCATTAGAATCAAGTAGGTTTTCTAGCTCTGCACTTCGCCCTTCATCATCTATTGCTTCTACTATTCGCCTCTCACATTCTACAATTGTGTCTTTCCAGGATAAATGCAAAACTTCACTACCACGACTCAAGTCTTTCTCTTCATTATCCAAGCTCTTTATAAGGCCCCCAATTCAGTGACAAATACTTGAATGGCAGACTCATTTTTATACAAGCGTAGGAGATTTATAACATCTGCATCTGTCCTGATATACATTGTCTTACCCTCCAAATTTCTACCCGGCAAACCGTAACAAAATTCTACATTGGTCCCCACCCTACCGGCCATCACATATAAATCTACTAAAGTAAACTAATTTAATTTATCCCTATTGAGACCTTCAAACTTGACTTTTCTTCCTTCCATGTACTTTATAAATGGGTCCCAAATTATGTAACCGTCGACCCACAAGAACACAGTGAGGGAATCTTCCATGTGGTCTCTGCAAGATACAACAAAATTAGAATATACCCCAACAAAAAAAATAGTATATTTACCACACCCCATCAAAATTAAACAATTATAAAACATGGTCCCCTCCCAAACGGATGTCGCGAAATAAAAAATTAAACAAATAGCATACAAAATCTTCAAACCCGAAAAGAACTTTTAATATCTATCCAAAGATGACATTGGGTAGAGTTTTTTTTAGGATTACTAGTAATGAGAACAATAATATCGGGAAAAAACCCAACAAAATTATAAAAGTTTGGCAAAGCATCTTCTTACCTTCAAAACCCAACTCCGCCGACAACAAAAACTAAGATAGAGCACCAAAGTCTAAGGGAACAATAGTCGAAAATAAGATTTAGCGGGAGAGGAGAATAGAGAAACGAAAGACCTAATCCTTTCGCTACATTCAATGAGAAGAGAAAGAAGAATAAAACCCTTGCTAATGGAATCTGTCGCTAATGGATGTAAACTGGGCATTCAATGAAAGTTAATTTCATTTAATTAATAAAAAAATTGTTTATGAATTTTCATAAAAGAGATATTAATGAGTTTAAAGGCAAATGGCATAACGGTCACTTCAACAACTAAATTAACTCCGTTAGTAATTGTGGGGCGTCTGCAATATATTTGTAATATAGGGGATTTTGATATGATTTTTTGATATGATTTTTTTAATACAGGGGATTTTATGCAAATTTATTAAAACACGGGTATGATACACGCAATTTACTCTATTATTTATATAACACTTGAGAGTTATTTTGGATATTATTAATGGTTTTGATAACTTTGATTCTAGTTTGGTTTCTTCAGATGATGGTTAAGGAGTGTTTTTTTTTTTTTGTTAGAGTTATATTGATTAAGACGATCAATTTTATTTTATACTCCCTCCGTTCCGGCTACGGTGTCTCCTTTTACTGTAGACACGAGAATTTTGGAGGAATATAACTAATAAATATTTTTTTCTCTCTGCTAAATTTATTCTCATTTTTTTTTAGTCCGTTCACTAAATTTATCTCATTATTAATTTTGACAAGGTTAACAAATCAACATTTAATTATTATTTTCCATTCAATATTTATTTACAATAAATATCATTAACTTTATTTACTTTATTTTTTAGCTAAATTTCCAAAGATACCTTCAACTACCTATCAATTTTTTAATAAAATATTCATTTTTTTAATTCCCGTGCCGGACCCAAATGAGCTAATTTTAATAGACGGAGGGAGTAATTAAGAATATATTAGTGAAAATAATTTTTGTACGATTAAATTAATTTTAGATTAAGATTAAAATAATTAATTAGTTTAATTAAAATAAAAAAATTATAAATTAAAAAAATTATAAATTTAAAAAAAAATAAAATGAAATTAAAGTGTACGATTCTTTTCCAAAAAAGAAAAGTGATATAATAGGTGAGACATACGAAAATGAAAATGTGGACACAATAAATGAGACAGATGAAGTATTATTATTATTATTACTATTATTGAACTTACTAAATTAAAATAAAAGGGTGTATTTGTTTTGTGAAATAGTTTGAGAAAATGTTTAAGGTATAGAAAATTGCGTAGCTAATATAAAAAATAATGAGTACGTGTAATATAATAATTTTTTTGAGAAAATATGTTAGTTTGTTTTGACAAAAAGACCGCACCATTAAAATATAATGTAATATGAATATTAATTTTTAGATAAATAAAATTTTAAATAATATAAATAAATAAATAAATTTATTTATTTACAATTAAGATAAACTAATTTTATAAAAAAGATGAGTTTTAAATATAGATAAAAAGAATAAAAAGATTTTGAATGAGTCTTATATGATATGTTATAATGTTTTAAAATAAATTAATTGTTTTATAATATTCATTAAGTATATTTCGATTTAGAGGGTGTTCGAGAAACAGTTTTTTGAAGAGCTTTTAGCTTATTGAACAACTTTTAGTTGTTAGACCGGTCAAAAAGATAATTTAGGTGTTTGGTAAATTAGCTTTTTGAAAGAGCTTTTTGGACCCAAAAAGCTAATTTCTGAATAGCTCATTTACCCAAGGTTTTAAAAGAGTTTTTTCATTTTAATTTTAGTTATTTCTTATTTACCCTTAAAACTTAATTATTTATTTTATACATATATATATATTTTTATAGCAGTATTTATTAATTAATTTTAATATATTTAATTTATTAAATTATATTTTTATTTTTGTAAATTTAAATTAATTACTTTTATTATTTATTACATATAAATTATTTTATTTGTAAAATATATAAATTTTTAAAACTAAATCAAATAGAAAAAATAAAGGTTATTAATTTATTTATATTAAAACAATAATTAACATAATAAAAATATATGTACAAAAGATTTATTATTTTATATTTTACATAATTTTAATAAAAAATTATTATTTTTTAGTAAAAATAATTTTATCAAATCTAAATAATAAAAATAAAATAAATATTTTATAATATTTTTATAATTTTCAATAATTAATAACAAAAATTCTCATAAATTTCAAACCAAAATGAACAAAATTAAAAATTTTAAAATAGCATATCAATGTCATTAAAAGTCATTTTATGTATAAACAGCTAATGTCAAACAATTGTTTTACCAAACACTTTAATACAAACCGCTAATTAAATCAGCTAGTCAAACCAGCTAATAGCTAACAGCTAATTGAATCAGCTAGTCAAACCAGCTAATTGAATCAGCTAATAGCTAACAGCTAATTGAATCAGCTTAAAGCTATCAGCTAATTGCCAAACGCACCCTTAATAAATTTTACCAAAAAAAAAAACATATCGAGTATTTTTTGAATTAACAACAAGATTCTCTATACTTAACATAAAAAAGACATTCAACTAAAAAGATAGGGGGGACACGTCTTTGTCATTCTTATTGTATATGTATTTTTTTTAATTATCATGTTATTTTTATTTTCTATTAATCAATTTTTTTATTTTCATTGTGTATGCATTCTTTTTAATTAATTTGGTTTCAAGTAATCTCTTCGTCCACCTTCAATCTATCTATTTTGTCATTTTAGTCTATCCATCGCAAATGTATCAATTTTTTTTAAATAAATATAATTTCCACTAAAATATAAAATTACCCCACCCTTCATATAATATTACAAAAATGCATAATATCACTTAAATTAACAAATAAACACAACTAATTATGTAATTAAATGAACATTCCTAAAACACCTATACATCAAATATCATTCTCTCACTCCCCATCCACCACTTGATACTCTTCGTCCCACGTATCTGGGTTCGAAACCCTATTTTTCATTCCTCGCATCTCACCACCGTCGGTCATAATCGCCGGCGATGTCCCATCAACCGTAGTCTCCGCCAACGGTAGAAGGTTATTCACCATTAGAATCCTTTCGTTTGCGCCAGAAGAAGAGTTTCGGGGGTGAGAATACTACTTTGACCGGTTGGACAAAATTGACCGATGGCGACGCCTCGTCAACCATGAATCTTTCCGGATCTTGGTTTCCGACGTCGTTGTTGGCCTCGCCGCCATTTATCGTGCCCGATTCGGAGACCGAGTTTGAACAACAACTCAGCAAAACCTCATTGACAGTAGATCTTGCCTGATCCGGGTTGCCTACGACCTATGTCGCGTTTGATCCGTTCATCGTGCCCGATTCGGAGCCCGAGTTCAAACCAGAACTCGCCGGCGCCGGGGTCGCTCCCCACCAATCTCTTTTCCGTGGCTTTGTGCCGATAAAATC